GGGAGTTACCCCCCTTTGACCTTTAGACCCGGTATTCACCGTTCCAAATTGTTTTCTTTAATTTTGTATGACATGTGACCAACGACTGGGTCAAAAATACTGACCACTTCAATCGGACATGTCTGTATTTGAATGACCCCACCACTCACTCCGACACTTGAGCCAGAGTTCAATACCCCCGCCTTACCACCAGTAGACAAAGCTGATTCCCTGTGTTGTTCTAGCCAAGTCCGAACAGACACTGTTGAACTTTCCGGGAATATTGTTGGGTCGCCCCTGTCATCCACGAGGTTCGCCGCATGGTTGTCTGCGCCGGCATAATCAGATAGGCCCAACTCGACATGATTCGGAACAGACGGCTGTCGACGCTACTTTTTTCCCCCATCCGTCTCATGTGCCTTCCTTGAAGGTTTCCTTTTTTTCTTGGGTGGTATACCCAGTGGAGATGAAGGATGATTGTTGATTTTAAATTCAGTTCTAAATTGCTGCTAAATTGCTCAACAGGCTTCGAGCAGCCACATCCAGGACAGAGATATTCAGGGGCATGGATACGCTTAAAATTCATAAGCGCAAAATTAGTAAATAAGCGTCTAGTTGATGTTGACCGAAGAGGAAAGACTTGCACAAGACCAAAATGGACAAATACCTTAACTCATTCAGGATTTTCACTTTAACTAAACTGGTGTTATCTTACAATTGATAAACCTTATAAGTTCGATCCTTTGATGTACATGAAAGTATCTCGAGGTCGCGTAACGGTAAAACCTACTGGCTTTGATGCCAGGCATCGCACCTCTGTAATTTCTAAAGGACAAGATTCGGTCTAGTGATTAGTCAGGATTTTTTTTTACCTGAGAAAAAATCAAATAGCTAGCCGCGTGCCTTTAATTTTCCTATGACATATTCCAGGGGTGCAGACATCTTCGTTATCCAGAAGTTACGCTCACTTTCGCTCTCTACACCCCTGAAATATGTCATAGCAAAATTGAAGCCACGAAGATAGCTGTTTGATTGGACTCAGGTGAAAAAAACTGACCAACAGCTAGGATGATACCTGTCCTTTGAAGATTACAAAGGAGAGACACCCAACTTCAAAGCCTGTCAATTTTTCCCGTTACGTGACCGCGAGATTCTTTTGATGTATATTAAAGGATTGAACTAGTCTTCTTGTCTCATAAACAAGGTGGCGCACACAAAGCCTTCAATTTCGCTAAGACATATTCCAGGGGTGTGGAGAGCGTAAGCGAGCGTTACGCCTGGAATATCGACGATGCTACTCCGTTGTCGTTACTGGTAGATCCGAAGTCCTCGGAGACTCAATTAACCAAGTAGAGATCGGCTTATCAAAACGATGTTAAGATATTCCATTTAACGCCTTTACTATGCAGATTCGGCTCTAATCTTTGCTTCATAATTCGTCAACACGTAAAGATATGTATTGTTTTCCTTTCTCTGACTTTTGCGATATCTTTAGTGTTGCCTCTATCCTTGCTGCTAAAATTGTTCCTAGTATTTATCGAGGTATGCATGATCAGTGCATTAGAATTAGTTTATTTTGTGTTAGTAAGATTTGATACATGTGAAGAATCAATGAAGTTGAGAAACTTTATGAACGAGTTTCAAGCGTACACTTACTAGAGTATCCTCGATCTCCTGTGGTTACTCTCACTCATGTTCTATGCATCCATGGCATATATCGTGACAAAATCGAAGGCTCAGTATGCACCGCCTCGGTGATGAGACGAGTTTGATCCTTTGATGTACATCAAAATAACCTGTCTGTCGCTTTGAAGTCGGTTGTAGCTCCTCTGTTATCTTCAGAGGACATGACAGTATTACAATGCATCATCCTCGATATCAAGGGGCTACGCTCACTTTCGCTCTCTGCACCCCTGGGATATGGCATAGCAAAATTGGAGGTTCATTGTGCATCGCCTTGTGGATGAGACGAGAAGACTAGTTTATCATTTGATTTACATCAAAAGAATCTCGTGGTCGCGTAACTATAAAACTTATTTGCTTTGAAGTCGGGTGTCGCTCCTTTGTAATCTTCAAAGGACAAGAATCATCAGTTTCTTTTTACATGAAACCAATCAAAAAGCCTGCCGTTTGCCTTCAATTTTGCTTTGACATATCCCAGGGGTGCAGAGAGCGAAGTCGAGCGTAACCCCTAGATATCGAGGATGCAGTAGTATCTGCCTAGCGTTTGGTCAGGTTACTTTTTACCCAGGACCAATCCAATTAGCCATGGTATAATTGATACCTTGTAGTCCTCTACACATTTCCTTGACAAACAGCTAATACAGCATGCGTGCGTTTGCGACGTCACGTGTCAAACAGTGTGACGTACAGATTTGACTTACGAGAAAACTAAAAAAAAAATTTAAATCGCGTTAAATCTTTCCCGGAACAAGTTTGCTGGAGATGCATTTGTATAATAATAAATACATCTTGCAGAGTAACATCTAGTTATGACGTGGAGTCCAGTACCACTTACTGAAAATCATTCAGTCATTCTGATTTTAGTAAGACTCATATTTGACTTGCTTGCTTGCAGCTTGTCTAAAGTGTTCGACAAAATCACCATGACCTAGAAATTGGTTCAAGTTGTCGTCTGGACGTCATCTGCTCGAGAGCAACACTCATAATCAAGATAATTAGCTTGTTCATGTAGCTTGGTAGTGTGGATATTTATCAAGTTTGAATAAATACATGATGACCTTGCCGCACTTTCAAGGTTACATGGATCCATCATATTAAAAGTTTAAAAAACTCCTTCAGCCAACTCTATTCTGGGAAAACTAGGGTCAATTGTCGTAACGTTTGATTTGCATCTACCATTCATGGTACGTGTACTATTTAGTTTTTTTCCATTGTGACAGGGTTAAAAAAACCCACCTCCAAATCAGCTTCGAAATAACAAAGCCAAGGTTCTGGATATATTGCCATTAACATCGCGCATGCTACCGATAGACAGCTGGGGTGAAGGGCTATCAGTCTGTTCAAACAATTGACTTCGGTCTGCATTCAAGTAAAAAGGCATCAATTCAATATCTTCATTCTGAACCCAATCCTATTCGGGTTTGTTTAAGGTTGTAGATTCTAGGTCGCTTCAAATTTTCGTTGACCTGTAAACCTATACATGTATATTCTGGTTATTTTCACTCCACTTGCTAAGAATCCGTCTAGTAACTTATAGCTAGTCCAGTTAATTCTTGCAAAAATAAAATGAGACAAAATTTTACTTTTTTTTTTATCGAAATGATATATATCATATACATCATATATTGATGTGGATATAGAGGCAGCAATATGCCTACGTCCACTAATATATATTAAATGATAGATATCTCATCGGCAATACGCTGCACATCAACACATTAAACTTTTGAAAAATGTTAAATATATATTAATGTACAATGTTATTTTCATGAAGAGCTGTAAAGCAGCGAAAGGACTTAAGAATATGTATTCTTGTATTTTAAGGTCACCTAAGCTTTAGCTCAAGTGACCTATTGCTATCCGCCATTGTCCGTCGTGCGTCGTCCGTCGTCCGTCGTGCGTCGTCCGTCGTCCGTTAACATTTTACATTTTCAACTTAAGCTGAAATACTGTCAAAGGGATTTCTTTGATACTTCATGGGAATGTTACTGAGAACTCCCTGACCAAGTGTTGTTATTTCTCGGCTCGATCAGAAATCCAATATGGCCGCCATGGCCGCCATTTTGAATAACTATTTCAAACTTAAAGTCAAGTTCTACTGGGCCTGTTTAATTGAAACTTGGTATGAATGATCAACTCATGGTCCTGACAAAGTGTTGTTATCTTTTGGATCGATCAGAAATCCAATTTGGCAGCCAAAGCCAGTCATTTTGAAAAACTATTTCAAACTTGAAGTCAAGTTCTACTGGGCCTATTTAACTGAAACTTGGTGGGAATGTTCGACTCATGGTCCTGACAAAGTGTTGTTATTTTTCGGGTCGATCAAAAGATCCAATATGGCCACCACGGTCGCCATTTTGAAAAACGATTTAAAACTTAAAGTCAGGTTCTACTGGGCCGATTTAACCGAAAATATAAATAAGCCCTGGTGAGTTATTATTGCCTATTTAAAATATCATTCAATATTATAATATATAATATAGCTACGGACTTAAATAGCATAATATCATTCCATGATATAGCATATGAGCACGTAGCATATATATACGCCATAACGTTAGATGGTGCACAATGTAAAAATGCTTTCTATAATGTCTATATTGGTGCAAACAAATGACCTAACAATATAAATGGAAGAACACATGTGACATTATTAGCATTAAACTTGAAACAAATTGAACAAATTTAATTGTTATTTTCTGTATGATATGCATGTGCATTAACAGAAAAAAATACCAAACACTAGAACTAGATTGTCAGTTACTACTAGTTTAAAAATTTGATTGGAATCCGTATGACAGGAAAATATATGAAAATGAAACAAGCTAAATATATATATACATGTATAATGTATATATATAATCTTTCTTGTTTCTGTGCGACTTAAAACTTTCCTTACTAGTATCTACACGACACGACGTCTTGTTTGTATATATAGCAAACAAAGTGCGACTAAATTATATCTATTCGGAACACATCGGGACATGACCAACTGGCAACTCTAGCAGACTACACTGTAACAAGTAGAAGACTCTCAAACATCATTAGCATGTAATGTTGACGCTTAAATCAATGAAGAACAGTGTAGACGCTTCGGAAAACCAGTTTAGAGTGCATATCGACCACCTTAACTCGTTCAGGTTTGATAATGAGTTTCTGTGTGATATTTGGAAGTGTGATGCGATTTCGTGAACTGCAAGAACCGCTCGTACCAATCATCCTATCGTCATAATCTTGTCATAGGCCTATAGCTATTTCGTGTTGCGTAATCGTTCATATTTAGCAAGTGATGCAGGCCAACCAATCATGATGGGACGTTAGTATTTTAAAAATGAATTCTTCACACCACCGACTTAGATAACATCTAATTCCGAGATCACACATTGCAAAATATCGGCAAGACTTTTGTTTCATGTTTGCAGAAAGATTATGTTTGTCAAACTAGCACACACCATATGAATCATTAGATGACAACATTCATCCCAGCAATAATTTACATCCTCATTGGTTGGATAAAATTCACTCGGAGGTTGCAGTGATGTGTGATATTTATCTGGCGTTTCTATTTTTAAAAACAGGTTAATATTTTCTCTTTATGACATCACTTCATGCTGTAACGCTAGTTGTGTACATTTGTTGGATTATAAAAGAAACACAAATTTAATATCTAATATAACAATTTAAGACTTTTATATTGACCCGAATAGTTATATTGAACAAGACGAGGAATATGTTGTTAATGTCGCATGAACCTGAGAAAGTGATTATAAATGACGGAAGTCTTCATCAATATCACTTTCTCAGGTATATATAACTTCGCATTCACCTCAACAAAAGTCCATAATTGATAAATAACATCAGCCAGAGGACCTGTTTCTGTGCCAATGTAGCGGAACTGGAGTCAGGACTGGGTTAATTGATCGTCGGCGACCAGATAGCTCAATTGGTAGAGCATCCGTCTAGAGTTTGGAGGGTCCCAGGTTTGAACCCCAGTCTGGCTGTGCATTTGCCTCTCCTGTTACACTACATCGATCTGTTTCTGTGCCCTGACCTTTGTGTGCATTGATCACTGTACATTTGCACACTGAAAGTCGTTTTTGGTGTCACACTCAGTGAAAGTTTACGTTTGAAACAGGAGAAAGAGAAATGCACTGTTAGTCTGGGTTCGAACCCGAGACCATCCAAAGTCTAGACAGATGTACATGTACCATTAATATTCTTCCCTCCTTTAACAAAGTCTTTGACCCCAGAAGACACTCAAGACCCTATACCACCTTCCGTGGGTACATTTCGTTCGGTGCCAAATTTATAACAGCTAGAAGAAAGTGAAATGTACGGCCAGATTTGGTTTTGAACCCGGAACCCTCAGAACTGTAGACGGACGCTCTACCAATTGAGCTATCTGGTTGCCAGTGATTTACAAAGTCCAGTAAAGTTAACATCTGCGAGGACATTGAAGAAAATTAAACAAAAACAAGTACTCGGAAACAAAATTGCATGGCTGTCATGTGGTTTGGTTCATCTAGCTGTTTTACAAACAGCGCCAAAAAGTTCAGTGTGGTGTCCTTTTATGTTTCAATGAATTTCCTTATTCATTCTTAGCACAGTTGCTAATTTTGACCTTGTCTGTCAACATACCTTAAAGCAGTACTTAGTTAACATTTAACAAGCATTGTATATCCCTTTCAAATACAGTGTAAAAGAAACCCTGCAGCTTATAAATGCACTTTAGCAGAGTTTTCCCAATTATTTATTTCTTCATGTCACATATGTATAGAGATGTACATTATTTTTTTGTAGCTTTATTTTATTCAATGTCATCATGTTGTATATCACAGCATTCATCTGGTCATTGCATATTTGTCAACTCTCACTATTTTGGAGGGAGACTCCCGATTTTATACCCTAACATTGTGGATTTTCAACCAGTGAAGTTGCTTAATTATTTCTATTTAGCAATCATCTGATTATTTTATCTTATAATTTTATGTCAACAATTAAAAAAAAGTGTTACTTTTTCCCTAGGGTGTACATACACACCTTTTTTCTATACTTTAAAAATATTTTGACTTTTTCAGGACATGCAACTTGCTGAGAGACTGCCCGTGTCCTGCCGTTATTTCTGTCAATGATTTTACCATGTTTAGGACATGACAAAAAATGGTAAATACGTGTTAGTGCATTATTATTAAATTTGTCAAAAAATCAGCTAGTGTTATTGGTAGAGAAATGATGCATTGATACATGCTTTTATTACATACTTACTAATAAATACAGGTTTTTTGTATATATATTATGCGATACAACACAATTGCTCTAACCCATATCAGCCCTCGCCGTATCACACCCCAAAACCCATATTAGCCGTAACACACCCCAAAACCCATATCAGCCCTCATTGTATCACACCCCAAAACCCATATCAGCCCTTGCCGTATCACACCCCAAAACCCATATCAGCCCTCATCGTATCACACCCCAAAACCCATATCAGCCCTTGCCGTATCACACCCCAAAACCCATATCAGCCGTATCACACCCCAAAATCAGCCCTCATCGTATCACACCCCAAAACCCATATCAGCCCTCTCCGTATCACACCCCAAAACCCATATCAGCCCTCATCGTATCACACCCCAAACCCCATATCAGCCCTCTCCGTATCACATCCCAAAACCCATACCCTCGACTAATATCAGCCCTTGGGCTGATATTGCAGTCTTGGGCTGATACTGGGTGTGATATGGAAAAAGGCATGTATTATTCTCTATTTTAAATTTTGATTATTCATATATATATATATATAAACTTAAAATATTTTATGTTCCTCAATACTTAAGGGGTTACGTATATATACGCTTACTTTAGCTCTCTGCACCCCTGGAATATATATATATATATGTCATAGCTAAATTGAAGCCAAGTGGCTAACTATTTTGTTGGTCTCATATTAAAAAACCCTGACCAATCGCTAGGCTGATACATGTCCTTTAAAGATTACAGAGGAGTGACACCCCACTTCAAAGCAAGTCAGTTTTACCAGTACAGGACTGTCAAATTCTTTTGATGTATATCAAAGGATCAAACTAGTCTTCACTCCGATTTCAATTTTGCCATGACATATTCCAGGGGTTCAGATATCGAAAGTGAGTATAACCCCTGGAGTATCGAGGATGCCACTACACAGATTAGCACACTATTATTATATGTACATCATGAAAAATAAATAATTAAATTTTTCGATACAACATGATTGTGATGTTTGTGTTGTGTTGTAGAGTGAAAGCAGTAACAAGGAGAGACATACTGCCAGTTACGTCCCTGTGGCACTAGAGCCTGCTGGCAGTCCGGATGTTGGTCCAAAATGTCGGATTGGATCTGTTGTCAGATCTGCTTCTACAACAATATACAGTCCAAGCAACAGTAATGAGGTGACTATATGTTCACGCATCTATGTCGTTGTTAAATTAAGACAGAATGGGTCAAGATTTGTGTTCAGCTTTGAATCATATGGTCAGGTTGAGGATGGGGCACATGCATCGATCTACAGGCAATTTGGTCCCTGAGTATAATCAGACATTGGATGAATCTTTATTCATTCAGATGAAAACTAGCTCACCTGATCATGATCAGTCAACCCCAGACTTAGTTTAGGGGGTCTTCACCTATAATAAATAAATTAAGTAATAATACATTATAACATGCACCTTTAAGCAAAGGTTTTTGCAGATCAGGAAAAGCTTTACCTTGGCATACATGTAGGTATAGGTTTCTAAGATTTCCAATGACAACCCCATTTCTGAGGTGAAAAAAAATCTGCCCCATTTTTTGGTAAAATCTTGTTTTTGCATATTTTTGTTATACTTTTGAAGCTATAAAACTATATATATAATATTGATTGACAGCTTTGTAAAATATCTTGCCTTATGCATCAGGAGCACAAATTTATGTTTTCTGTATATCTTACATATGAACTGCAGTCCAGAGGAGGCAAGTGTTCAATACAAACAATTCCAATTACTTTATGATAATTTAGAATGTGAACGAAGTTGTTCATGATAGTTAAAACAAGAAAAAATGTATGTATATGACTGCAGAGATTTTTTTTTAACACTACATACTAGTGCAATACATTTCATTGTTCCAGTCCTCAATAGTCGATGGGGACCCGTCAGAAACAGGGTATTTCTTCGATGAAGATGCAGATTTGAACCAGCGGACAGTTACTTCCTTTGGAGGGCTTTCCATTGACACCCAGGACAGTGCACGCTATAATGATGCTCCTTTTGACTGTGGTAATATCCAATTCTCGGATGTGAATAGCCAGAAACAAGAAAGAGAAGTACGTATTTCAATGCTTTAAAATGCTTTTCTCTTCTGATTGCCCTGTTATAGAAACAGTATGGCTCTGTCCAAAAACAGCAAGGGACTTTCTGTTTGGAATGGGCAGCTCTTAATTTCATTCTTCTGTTTGTTTTTATTGGAATAATGAAAGGAGTAAAAACATTACTCGAGCTAGTTCAGTATGTAATGTTGAGTCTGTTATTTTTTATTAGAATAATGGAAGAAAAACCCCATTACTCGAGCTAGTTCAGCATGTTATGTTGAGTTATGTATGTGGAGTCTGTTAAGTTATTCACTGATCTTACCATTTACTTGGGGATATTTTAAATTATTAATTATGCAAAATATATGTTGCTGTATCTAATTTTTCTGAAAGTTTTGTAAAAATGTGGATGTGCATGAATATGTTAGCCATTAACTAAACTATTGCTTCATTGGAAAATTTCTTTAGGACAACAATGTAAATGCTACTTGGCCCACAAATGTGCGGAGCTAGCTTGTAAATGGTCCTGGTAATTTGCTTCTGCTGGTGTTTCACTATATATATGTTTGTAAAATTATGATATTTGTAACTGCTAGTGTCTGAAGTATGTATGTAAGTACGACTGTATGACGTTTGTAGATGATGTTATTCACTTGCAGCCCAAGCGCCACTATGTGTGTATCCCCAGTGACACTGTGAGCTGGGATGTTGCACATTTCCTGGGCTCCTACTGGAAGATGAGAAGCCCTAAGATTGTGCTGTCTGTAATATCAGGAGTGAAACATTTCAAACCATGGAAAAACCTCCGATTTAAGAAACAATTTCAGAAAGGCATTATCAAGGTATCAAGATCATTTGCCTCTGGATAATTGTCAAGTCTTTCCTAATTAATGACAATTTGCTACGTGAACGTTATTCCATTTTTTTTTTAAGAACTCACTCAATTAATTTGACTATTTAAAACAGTATTGATATCTTTTTACAAGCTAAATGCATCAAATCAATCTGAATTTCTGACTCTCACATTGTATTAAAAACATATGTGTATTCAGTTTATATTTAACTAATATAAATATCAAATTGATTTGTGTTCAATATGATATTGGTCAATCTAGATTTATTTTTCGCTAATACATGTAATTAGCTTCTACATTTTCTAGTAAATAACAGTCAAGACAAGAAAATGTATTGTTTGTTTTGTGAAAGTATCTAATGATAAGGAGCCACTATGATTTTACATGTCAAGGATTTCCGTTCATTCTGATGAAACTTTTTAGGCAGCCAACACAACTGAAATGTGGATTGTTACGAGTGGACTAGATGGAGGCGTGTCCAAGATGATTGGAGACGCTATACGGGAGGAGAAAGCTCGGCGAATTAGCAATCGTACACAGCAAAGCATGATTCGCCCCGATGCCGTTCAAAAATTCCAGAAACTCACACTGATTGGGATCCTACCAAAGGACGGCCTGAAGTATGGTGACAAGCTAGATGGATCTGTAAGTTGGTGTTGAGTTTTAATAGTGATTTCAAAAGTGAACTTGTCAGATTAACTCAATCATCCCTGAAGACACATTTGAACTCTTCCAATTCAAAGGTTGGAATAGTTTATTATAAAATTTCAGGGGTGGATGAGTTAATCTATGTACAAAATGATAGTGAAAATAACTATTTGTGGATTACTTACACATATGGTTCATATGGGTCCTTAAAAGATCTGGAATTGAGGTTGGTACTTTTCACTGGAAAATAGGAGTATCCAGTCCTGGAAAATTGCTAAAATTTGCTAAATGGTAATGGAATGTATATATATACTGGAGACATTTATCATGACTTCTTTTATTAGTAGTACTGTTTTATATTTTCTGTGGTGATTATATATCAAATAAATGACATAATAATTATGATATATCATAAAAATTGAATTGATGATTTTTAAAATGTGTAATAATTTGCTTTAGTGTTTTGCTAGTATTTAATGGCAATATGTTTGGTAAAAACAGAAAACATCTACCCATTATCCACAAGAAACAATGTGTTTGACAGTCAAACAACATGCTGATGTGGTTGCCTGGTGTAATGTTAACAAATAAATGTTTTTGACAGGAAGGGGTGGGGCTGAAGAACGAGGGTCACCAACCTGACAGTGACAAGTACGAGCTTAACCCTGACCACACCCACTTTATGATAGTAGAGGAGGAAGACCTGGACCGCATGCTCTTCACGAACATCAGATGTACATTGGAAAAGGCGTTTGAGTATCAATTAGGACGACCACGCCGACTTAGAAGGGTTTTCAGCTGGGGTAAGATTATCCAACGATATCGAGTATAAGGAGGGTATTAGTGAGGGAAAAGTTATTTTAGCTATGCCAACTGTTTCCGATTTATACTGAACAACATATAAAATTCACTAAAATTGATTTTATACCGGTAAACCAAGAAAAGCAAATTATGTGATCAAGAAATACAGAATGTACTTTTCATTGTACTTTCAAAAGACACTTTTGTTTTGGAGGTTATTATGGCTCATCAAACAGTGTAATGTTATGGAAATGATATCACCATCAATAAACAAGGATATTTTTTTCGGAGTTAATGCTAGTCTCCATAAAAAAAATGTGCATATGAAACTTTCTTTTCTCTGAATTCTTTCTTAATATAAATTGTTCCTCTTTGTAATTGAATTCCAAAGAATTTTATTTGAACTAATGTGAAAAACAACAGAAGTTTTCTTTATCAAACATTGAAAAAATGTTAGCTTTGATTTCACCATAATGCCTCATTTGTATTTGACAGAATCTAATAAAGGAAAGAAGTGCCAAGGGAACAAAACTGTTGTGATAAGAGAGTATTCAGTATATATATATATACAGTATATATACAGTATATATACAGTATATATATAGTATATATACAGTATAAATATATATATACGAGTCTACAAAAGACAAGTTTGACTGTATAGATTGACCAGATATAGGAGAGATTAACTATTAACATTAGTGTAACAGGGACAATGATTATACGTTATAACCTAAATGTTGTGTCACTTTTTGTCCACCGTGATTGTACTGTATCGTCTTGTACCGTCTGTAGTGTTCTGTAAAGTTGAAAAGTTATAGATTTGTTTCTATGTTCTCATTGGTTGTTGTCCAATTTGGCGTTTTTTGATTGGTTAGATTTAAGTGGTCAGTTTGGTGCCAGTACTATTGTCTGTGGTCAGTTGTGATTTGTGACAATGACAGATCAACACGTTTGGACGAAGTCTAAGAAGTAAATATGAGACAGTACGCTGTACGTCTGGCCTTTGGCTAGGAAGTGTAAGGGGAGTTTACGTTCCCTTATGGCTTTGTGCCACACACAGAGTGATGGTACGTCTGTACTACATATCTTAAATCAGTCAGTCATCTGTACTTGTCCTGTGTTCGTCTGTTGCAGATAATAAACTTGTAAATTGAACTCCGGTTTGAATGTCTATTGCATTACAATGCCCCCTATTACATTAGTAAACCAAGCTTTCCAGACTTAAAACCAGATTTCATGTCCAGAATGTGCTATCTGTAAATCATTAATTTATTCATTTATTTATTTTTATTTAACTGTAGGTTCTGACGAGAGCAATACGAGCGGTTTTAATGACATGCACCAACCAAATGACAAAACAATACCAGTGATTGGTCTGCTGGTTCAGGGCTCCCCTAAGAATGTGGAACACATACTGTTCTACCTCAGCAACAAGATGCCGGTGGTTGTACTCAAGGGGAGTGGAGGGTTCGCTGACCTCTTAGCATTCGCCTATCAGGAAACTCAAGAAAGGTTGCTATCTACATTAAGAACTATTTGTGTCTCAACCTTTTGAATAAATTCATTATGCAAAAAATATTTTTCAAGTTCTCAAGTTTTCTATTGGCCGAAGTAATGACAATGTCATTTTACCATAAAAGTTTTCAGTGTGTTATAAATATGTTTTTTATATATATTTTTTTTTTTGTAGGACTGATCCAGACTTTTTGGAAACGTTTCTGAAACCAGAACTAATCAAAATGATAAGTAAAACATACCCCAGCGACTTTAAGGACAATGACCTAGCTAGAAATGAGTTCAGAGACAAAATATTGAACTGTGTAGATTTAGCACAGGAGGTTAGTACAGCACGAAAATACACACGTAAATGTGTTCAAAACTTATAATTCTGTTTGTCATTACCTAAATTATCATCTATACTGTATACATATCTGTATTTATGTTTCAATGAAAGATTACTGATTTGGTTAAGATACTCTTTGTCAAACCCTTCACAGACTTGCCTCCCGTACTGGGCTTGAGTAATTTCTCTGTTGATCCCAAGTGTGCAATGTATATGCTCCCATCCATCACAGAGTTGTCTCCCATTTTACCTATAGGTCAATTCACTGTCAGCCTCAAGATTAATATGTAAATTATTTTATCACATAATGTACTGTGTTATGCAGTGAATATATACCCATGTCATATTTTTTTGCGTATTAACCCATATAATATGTCACCTATCAGGCCTGTGATTGGTTGTAAGCTTCAATTGTGATGTCACGTCTAGGACAAGTACATAAGGTCACAAACTTGCACACTGAAGTCAAATTGGCGGCTTTTTACGCTTCAAGCTTGAAAATTGTCGTTTTACAGGAATAAATGCCACAAATCCTGATTACGTGATAAAAAGGATCTTACACTCGTTTTCCTTTCATATGAAATTTATGAAACTTGTCACAAATTTTCATTTTTAGCTCGCCAGAGGCTTGCTAAATTGAAAAATTCTTAGACTCGTTTCATAAATCTCATATGAAATGGAAACTCATGTTAGATCCTATATATATAAGCAATGAAATCACCAAAACATCTGTTTCAAGGAGTTGGAGAAAACTAATCATTCCTTATCTTGAGAGTATGACAAGAAATCTCGGCTCTCAAAGTAGGATCCTTGGAGGTAATATAAACCCTTTTTCTAAACATTTTCTTCAGGTTGGTAAGAATGGATTATGAAAAGTTCTTTTTACACGACCAATAAGTGTTTCTATGTGATGTTTCGATGACTAGTAGTATGGTATATACACTGTCGCCTTCATCAGACAAATGACCAGTGAAGTGTATGCACACAAAGGTGTAAAATGTGTACGAGTTGTCCACAAAATCGATGTCGATTTCAGCTATGCTGTAAGCGTATGTATATTAGTTGTTATATATGTACCGAAATGACTTGATTCAGCTATGCTTTGTTTAAAGCGTTTCACTGGTCATTTGTCTGATGAAGGTGACAGTGTACATATCGTACTAGTCATCGAAATGTCACATAGAAAATTTTATTGGTTGTGTAAAAAGAACTTTCTCTCTTGGTTGGATTTCTTTGCCTTACACTCAAGATGGATAACATTCCATTTACTCACAGTTGAAGTTAATTTTTGTCATTGTTCTTCTTTACCACTATATTTCACTTAATGTGATTACCAACAGGACGACCAGACATTTATGACGGTGGTGAACATGCAAGGCTGGGATGCTAATTTAAAAGACTTGGACAAGTATTTACTTAAGGCTTTATTCAAATGTAAGTTGATAAAAAATGATCGTTAACTATAAGATTTTTTTGATTTTTTTGGTAAAAGTATACACACATCATTATCAAATCTTATGGTAAAAGTAAGTATAATGAAAAAAAAAAACAGTGTCCAAGAATCGAATGACCCTAATTATACACATACATATCACTATCAGCAACATTCTTGCATATATGCAAATATATTTAATGTATACCTATACTGTAGTATAAATTGCTGATTTCAACAGGCATAAAGGTCTATATATATTATTGTTTTCTAAAGTTGATAAATTTCATTTGTTTCTTAATATTTTCTCTTTTGCCATGATTTACCTATTGTATGCATAATCATTACAAATATCAGACAGAAATTCAGTAATGAACTTTGGTGTATCTAATCTTTCATCTCAAGACAGTAAAACTTCAACGACAGGCGTCGTATTTAAGTCCCATTCAGGCTTTGTCACGGGTTCTTTTGGGGTCACTAATAAAAGATTTATGTTAAACTTTCTTACCTAATTAGCTTAAAATTCATCAAATCACTGCATACAATGTATCTGAATATATAGGAGGTAAGTGGAAAACTATACAACTAGAATTGTAATGATATAGTCCAACTGTAATGTTAGAGAGATGGAATGGCTCATATGACTTCCACAATGACACATCCAGGGTCTGATCTTGGGGGATCTACAAATGAGGAAAATTAAAAAAAAAATACACAAAGTTTTCTTAGTGGAAATTGACAGTCGGGGGATGTTTCCTGAAGTCCCTGATTCCACATCCTTTAATTAATATCTTTCAACATTGTCCTGTTTGAGTTTTGAGATGAACTTCTTTTAATGACAGCAGAGAAACAAGTTGCAAGTAAGTGGAAGGAACAGTTGTACAAGGATCTGCAGTTAATTCTCGACTGGAACCGTCCTGACCTGGTACAGTCTCAGATATTCCAGCGTGATGACTTCGCCAAAATTAAGGTGAGTCTGTTGTACGGCTGATGCTGTTGAATCCCACCAATATTGGAATGAACATATTTCTCTGTAGGTATATATGACAGATGTTATTCATAAAATGTCACATCAAAATATATTTTTCAGTTGAACAAAGAGCTGTTAGAAAAGGCCTTGCTGAAAACAGATAGAGAGGAGTTTGTTGACCTGTTTCTTGATCACGGGATTCAGATTCACAAGTTTTTGAACCACAAAAAATTCAAGCTTCTCTTTGAAAGAGCTCAGGAGCGGGAGTTTTTCACAACAATATGCTTAGAAGGAGCTCTGAATTTTAGCAGTGTGGTAAGTATTAACACAGTGTTGTAATTCTTATGGGGTTTTAGTTGAGTTATTGATACTTCATGGTCTCCTCAATGAGCAGATCTGGCAGAGTGATTAATATTCTTACCTTCTACTTAGACAACCAGGGTTCAATCCCCAAAGTCGTGGTAACCAGGGTTCAATCCCCAAAGTCGTGGTATTAAAGAAATTTAGAGAAAGTGATCTACTCCTGCCCACACAACTCCTATAACCCAGGTGGGAGTGGGAATAAAAATAATTCTTTGGTGGATGATAGGGTGTGTATGCTGTAATGTTTCAGTGGGTTTAATTTGATCTTTGAAGAGAAAGCATCGGAAGCATAGTCCCTCCTCTCAAACATGCCTCCAGCACACACACAGGGGCACACACATGTAGAGGCATTCAGCAAGGTGGCATAGGACCAATAATCAGCATCTGATATTAAAGGCAGTTACTGTGAAATCTGCAAACTGTATTTATTGTATAAATAATATTGTAAAACACAGAATGACTTATTCCAGCCAGGTAGTGCACTATATATATGTAATGTGATAATATGTCTATATTACCTCATTTGTTATATCATTGATAAAAACATGCCTACATTAATTCATCACCGTTAATTACCAGGTATAACAATAAATGTCTAGATGTTTTACTTCTGTAGAAATGATGTGCCAACATGATTTCTTTTCCAGGAGGCAGACCAACCCTTGCAGAAAGAATTTCTTTCCAATGATCTAAATCGTCTTATATACAAATTGAGTCGCATCAAGGATTTTGTTCAACCATATGAGCTTTCCATGAATTCTGCTGGACTGTACGTCTCGAATCCTGCTGTCGCTGAGAGTAAGGTAAATCAGTGTAATACAGCCTAATATATTCATTTATAAATGTAAATCACATGATCATTCTTAAAGATGCGCTGTTTCATTAAAAACTTATGAGACATTGAGAAGGCATGTACAAAATATTTTGGTTCAGAACACTTTGTGTGACTTTTGTTTTGAATGAAACCAGGTGTAAATATATATACATTTAAGTCAGTTTTTCTAACATTTAAAAGAAATAAAAATAAAATTGTATGGCCTGCAGGACCTTGAAGATTCATCACACTATTTTTTCATAAGTACATCATTCTATTATAGCCCAAAAGTAGTTAAGAAATGCACTTGTAGTTGAATAAAACTGTTTTAATAGATATAATCTAGGACTGTAGGGAAGATATATGTATTGAGAGCAGAATTCTTGGATTTCAATGATAATGTAATCCAAGCGTTTTGTAATTGGCTACCAACAAAAGAGAGACCTTTTTAGCTGTACTCTTCTCTGTCCCAGACTTCTGAACAAAATAAAGGAACTCTTTTTAAACTTAGGTCAAAACATTCCCATTTAGCTATTATGAATAAATTGATAAACCGGAGTGTACTCTTTCACAGTTTATTTAGAGTACACTCCGGTTTTTTGTGTTATATCTCCCCATAACATGAAAAATATATTCAAGTTAATCCTTAAATAAAATAATTACTCTGTATAGCATTCTCTACAGCTTTGATTTCACACAGTGCTATCTCCATGGTTACCTATGTGGGAAAATGCTAACTTTTGCATTTATGAAAATTCAAGGTAGTTTTGAAATTCTTAGGTTTGTTCCTTTAATAGAAATATTTGCTTTCTAGAACTCACAGGTTACTGTTAGAATAAGCTTGCCGTGGAAAATGTCTCTATGAAGTACGGGTGATATAAATCTCAATTCATGCCCCTGTTGTTGATTGCTTAATGTTTTGCTGCAGGCACTGAACTGCCTGATCGTCTGGGCAGTACTGATGAATCGCCACAAGCTGGCCAAGGTTCTGTGGCAGAGATGTGAGGAACCCATAGCCATGGCTCTCATTTGTAGCAACATGTACAGGGAGCTTGCGAAAAACTGCATAGAGCTGTATCTCCGCACAGAGATGGAAAACAATGCTAAGTGAGTTGAAGCTGTTGGAGGTATAACAATTTGCCAGTAAACAATGTATCAGTAAAAATTCTTCAGCCTTACCTGTATATTTCCTTAACATAGAAATACAATCTACAAGCTGTGGACATAAAACTTGTGGAATTATAATTATACGTCCCTTTAATTATATGATTCATGTCCTGCTACCGTTTCCTTTTGCAAGTAAATAAAGTATAAAGATGAAATGAGAACAATTTTAAGAATTCATTTTTTTTTTAAATTAACCTTGAAAAAAAAAGAGAAATTTGTAATACAAAAAAAATATACTCAACCCACTCCAAAAAACAAGAAAAAAACAAAGGAAGAAAAAAACCCATTGTGAAGTTTACAACTCATATTTAATCAAGAACTAGTGAAGTCGTGTTATGTAACCTTTGATGCAATGAATGGATAAATCGGTTTTCACTACACTAGTATTCAGGCCTAATCTAGATGTGTATATGTTACAGTGATTTTGGTAAGATAGCCCTGGGTGTATTGGACATAAGTTTCCGCGACTCCAGTGCTCAGGCCTACAACATCCTGTGTAAACCTCTACCACACTTCAACAACAAGACCACACTAGAGATAGCCCACGATGCAAATTACATGAACTTTATTGCACACCCCTGCTGTCAGAAGTGGCTCACAAAGAAACTGTTTGGTGCCATACATGTCAAAGAAGTTCCCTGGGGCATCTTCAGACTCCCCTATTGGTTCAAGGTAAATAACTTATCAATATATCCTTATAGTCTCCAGTGACACACATTTTCCTTTCTAAATTACAGTAAAACCCCACTTCCTCGAACTTGGTTTATAACTCGAATACCTCTGATTCGTCGAACAGTTTGTTTGGTCCCGACCGAGTTTGTACATATTTTTGTAAAGTAACCCCAGATTAGTCGAACTGTTATTCCCTTTATTACCCGTATTCCTCGACCAAAAATTTGTCTCTGACTCTTCATGGTCATAGTATTAATCCTATCTATTCCTCGAACAGGCGTGACGTGTCAGCCTGACAGATATTTTACCTTTGCATCACACTGGCACTGCCATCAACATGTCTCGAGGCAGAGGCTGCAGTCTGTCTGTCTGTCAACGCAATATTAGATAAGGCTTTTTTTTCTTACAAGTTTCAAGCTATACATTATGTCTCAACAGCGTGATACTCACATGTTTTAACCTAACCTCAATAATGTTTACCTACAATATGTCCTGAAAGCGGGAGATATAAATTCCAGGAATTTGCTTGTTTCTTTTTCTGTTGCCATGGAAAAGGCAAAAATACGAAATTTTAGGTTTCTGAAGCATGATCTCAAAACTATTAGAAATATCAAATTGAAATTTTACTTATACACTTATCGACCTAGCACTCTATTGGAGCCATTTGCATTCAAGATGCATACAGGAAGTTTTGTACACTTATATATATGAAGCTAGTGCTCTAATCAAGGTTTTTTTGATGGGGAAGTCATCAGTGTTTTGTAAAAGATGATCTACATCAAAGTATCAGTAACAGTGGTGGAATGGGGTTAATACCTGTTATTGTAATGTTAACATATAATTATATATATGATTGTGTGTCTTTCTTTAAACAGCAGGGCATGGGGGATAATGTCACGCTTTGTGTTATCTTGTTTCGTTAGCAATCAACATTATGATAACAAGGATTCAACATTTTTCCTCTCGTTACAACATTTTGTAAAATTAAGGTAGCCGATTACAGTATGGTGGACTATGTCAAAACGACAAGTACGTTCCACATGTGGCTTTTGAATTTTATTTACTTTCTTAGTACTGGTGGCTATATGTTTTCATTGTTTTGCTATTTTAAATCTTATTAAATGCTGTCATCTTGATTAAACTTCTTTTTTCTTCTATCATCTACTATCTGCAATATTTGCAGTGCTCGTACTGTCTGTTGTCCCACCTCATAACAAAATGACGATGTCTGTCGAACCTTGGATTCGTCGAATACCATGTATTTCTCGAACTATTGATTTTGACCCTACGAGTTTGAGTTTAGCGGGGTTTTACTGTACATTCATATCAAAAATATATTGTGTGTGTATCACTTTATGTGCTTCCCTAAGTGATGTTAGAATAAATATGAGAAAGCATCTTAATGATGTGAATTTTTCAGAAAGACAGCATTGTTACTTCATTAGTCTATATCCCAAAAAACAAGAGCATTACGAAGTGCCACCAAAACCATAAATCTTACTCAAAATCGATAAGACCATGCAAAATATAAAGGGAAGATTTATGTGGAGACCATTGAATCAGAAGGTGATAAAGACCAGGTGTTCCAGAAGGTTAAGCGTTGTCTGCTCCCAAAAGTTTGTGCTATAGAAATGGGCACGGTCGTTACATACAGAAAAAATATATAAAATATCTATGTACAAAAAAGTGCATGACAATATTAATGTAAATCCTTTTCTTTTTTTTAGATCTTGGCCAGTGTTTTTCTAATATTTCCGATGTTTATTTGGATAAACTTCTCACCTGGTGCTCTCAGAAGAGTAAAGGGTATCACAGTGAATGGTAAGTGTTTCATATTTTTCTGATGTCCATATTATACATGTACAGGGAAAGACAATGTAATTAAGCCATAAATAGAAAAAAAATCATAATGGCATAAGATTTTCTCTGATAAAAAAATCACTTTCTAAGCATACACATTGCACTTTCTTGGCCAACATACCAAGAAATGGGTGCGTGTATGCTCAGAAAATGAATTTTGTTTTGTGAATGCTTACAATCAAATTTTAAAATAATTTTATTATTATCAATTCATAATCAATTTTACTAGAATCACATTACATCCATAAAGTAAATGAATCAGTTGCTTATGATTATGACAGCTTTTCCTTTTATTAAATGTAGGATTCATAATGTTATCTATGAAGATTATGTTAAGGAAGAAAATTCTAAATGTTGACATGAAGAAATGCTTTAATAGATGAGTAAACAAATGTTTTCAAACCACATTAGATTTATTCAGCAGTTACATTTATGATGTTTTTCCTTTCCTTGTTCTAGCATTTTTTTTTTTTTACCAGACTGAATATGATTTTATCAGACATATCCTAAGATCTGGCATGGTTAAATGACACTTATATTTACGTAGCTCCGTACTTAAGCTCCTCTTCAGCAGGACCTTTAAGTAAGGTTACTTTCACAGTGGAATCGTCTTTGTTGCAATAGTACAAATTTGAATTTAATGGGTTTTTTTTCCCATTTACTATACAAAATGCGTATATGATTTCGAAATGCCATAACATATATAATTTCTATATGTTGTAAAATATTTCTCCAATGAATATGATTGTAGACACCATTTTGATGGAAGATGAGGAGGAGGAGGAAGGGGAGACAACTGACAGTAATGATGAAGAGGATGCAGGACTGCCATCATCTAAATCAATGCTGGAGAATGAACTAAGCAATGTAAAGACAGTAATGAAATATCATTACAATGGTGATCGAAAATTTAATATTACCTTATGTCAACTTAGAAACTGTGCCAGTAACCTGAATTCAGATCTATTTGAATCTCACCTAATTGATACCCCTGCCTGCTTATGTAGTTCTCCTGTTGAGGACTGTGATCACTTCTTCTTCCATTGTACTCTGTATACTAATCAAAGACAAATTCTCCTGAACTCCATTTCTGCTTTTAATGACATTATTCCATTAAATACCCAGACTTTTCTTTATGGATGTCAAAGACTTGATATCAATATGAACATAAGTATCTTGGAGATGGTTAAGAGATTCGTTAAAGATACAAGACGCTTTAACTAGATTACACTTACTTGTTTATCTCATGACTTTGCTGTGTGGAATGATACCAGTACATACTTTTACTATGTGCTCTGTCCACCAGCATCATTTTAATTGCCATTTTTTTTGTAAAATCTGGTTTTTGTACAACAATTATCAAAAAATTAATAATGACATGCAAATATCAATATTCATGTACATAATATAAATGTTTTATCATTACTTCGATTCAATATGATGTGTGTAAACTGTTTATAACTGTAAGGAGAGGGCGCTCATAGGCTTTGCCTGTTGCCCAATTCCTTTGTATCTAAGATCTGAACAATAAATATTCTGAAATGAAAAGAAATGAAATGAAATATCAAAATATAGACCTATCTAGACGTTCTGTAATGTTTCATCACACAAAGTAAATGTAATTGTCGAAGTTTTTTTTATGCACCAGTGTACTAAAAACCATACAAAATTATCTTAGCTGATGAGTTGGTCCTTGTTAAACAGGAATAATTCACAAAGGCAATCAGAACATATACAAGAAGGATGATATCAAGAGGTATACCTAAAACTGTCACACAGAAAAGGGAGGCAGGGGTCGACACTAATACTGGTCCGCTAGTCCGGGACTAGTAGATTTCAGCAAGGACTAGAGAATCACCTAACCTAACTGGTCCTTTGGACTTGTGAAATATATGATTATGAAATAAGAATATTCCTAATTTTGACGGGAGTATTATGGTATGGGGTTGTCCGTCTGTCCGTCGGGCCGGCGTAAACTTTTGTTTGTCCGGCAATCTCCTACATTTTTCGACCGATCTCTTTGAAACTTTATAAACATTATAATCATGATATGAAGTTGTGTCTCCCGTAAAAGAATTTTGATTCAAAAAATTTTGCAAAAGTTATTGCCCTTTGTTCATTTCAGTATTTGATTTTTTGTCCAGGGATCTCCTCCTACTTTTTGTGACGGATTTCTTTAAAACTTACTAGGCTAAATAATCATGATATGTTGTTGTGTTTCCTTGAAAAGAACTTTGATTCGACAATTTTTGCAAAAGTTATTGCCTTTTGTTTATTTCAGTTTTTGATTTTTGTCCGTCAATCTCCTCCTACATTTTTCAACGGATCTCTTTGAAACTTGGTATACATTATAAACACGATATGAGTTGTGTCCCTCTTAAAAGAATTTTAATTCAACGATATTTGCAAAAGTTATTGCCCTTTGTTCATTTCAGTAACAATCAACACTATATGGCATTCGACGGGCGTATATTGTTCCGCCCCGCGGTACTCTTGTTAAAATTTAGAAAACTGCTTAAAATAATAACACTTCATGATATTTTTATGGCAGTAGTTATTTTAATTTCCCTACAGTCGATAACTTGTGTATGTTTTGTGCTGTAGATTGCGATGTTTCCTTATCAGGAAATCTTGGGACTAGTTACATTGACGAAGGACTAGTAAATAATCATTTCAACTAGTCCTGTGGACTACCAAGCAAAGACAGTTATAGTGTCTAACCCTTGGGGGAGGTCTAAAAGTACAACTACAATCATCAGCGTCTTACGACATGATAAGTATGGAGTAAGAAATGGTTTCCGTAACCTTGAACTCTACACAATCTCTGCTTCTGGACAAGTATCCAAGTTTGTCCTGTGATATTGGTTTGCTATTTGAACTTTTTTCGTTCCAGATGAGGAAGGCCAAGAGCCTGAAGAGTGTTAAGGTAAGGATAAAGAGTGCAATGAAGTCTAACAAGAAGCGACACTTGGCCCTATGGCGGCGGATCCAGCTTCTTTGGTCAGCACCTATCACCAAATTCTGGCTTACCCAGGTAGGTTGGGTCTTAAACCAGAAACAAAACGTGTCTAACTGTTGTAGAATTTAGTTGAATGTTTCATTGACGAATATTTTACTAATAAAAAGTAAATTGAAATGTTTCCTAGTTGATTTCATCCAACAAATATATTTGTATGATAAATAATATAACATCTAGTAAATCTGTCCGTTTGTCTCAATTGCCTAATTAAGCAATATTCAAAAGTTATTTGTATTTTAGAATACCTGTGTTCAATCAAATTTAACATGCTATGGCAAATATTTTTCTATATATAAACAAGGGTAAAGTCGGTGGTTTGGAAAAAAGTTGAGTTTAGCTCTGGTAGCAAACAAAAAGTCCAAGAAATATGCAGTAGTAGCTATAGCCTGGTACAAAAAATGAAAAGAGGATGTTTAAAAATGGAATTCTACATTAGGGATTAGATTGAATCTGGCTCCTGATATGAATGGAACGTGAGAACTGGGCAGGCCAAAAGGTATTTGACTGATTAATTGATTGATTGATGAGGCTTAAGGTCCCCTTATTCTGGTTAAAACTAAGCTTACAATGTAGGCAGTACCAAAAGATCTTACTTGCCTAGTGTTAATAGGGAGTTCGACCACCCAAGGTCAAACATGTGGTCAGTGTTCATCTGACCACCTAATATAAGGTCGGGAGTCAGTGCTTCCCAAAACACAGCACCCCTCATCATATGAGTTACTTGAGTTACGCCAGTGTCCGGATGTGGCTGAAGCAATAACAGTATTTTATTACTGCTGACCATTCCCTGGGCTGCCTTTAATGTTTATATCGGTGTGAACTGGTCAGATAGGATCAGTCCTGGTGTGGCCTTAGAAGTACTATGTTATGTGTTAATTTCTCCTAATAATCAACCTTTATACTAAATTGAGTTGTTTCGTTGATTATTCATTGAGGGTAACACCTAGTCTATGTAATAACTGGAACAAGGATGTTGAGCACTGTCAACCAATCATAAGTCAGTCTGAGAGAGAAATATTATAATGTAGGTCAGTAATCAAGGAAGTCTGTAATTGTGGGGTCACTGCTTAATATCTAATCAGTATTAAGTTATTTTCACAGTGGGTATTTCTCAAGACTTATTTTATGTGTTTGGAGGTACAAAATACATTTTGTCAAAAAGGTTGTTGCATTTTTCCAGGTTAAGTGAAAAAAAGGGACTTATTTGCTTGGACTAGATGTTAGTGAGTGTCTGTCTCAATTTTATTATCGTTATATGCATTCTAATGCAGTAAAAATCTTTCTGAATCTCTGCGTCTTCAGGCCCTGTATTTTGTGTACCTGGGGTTGTTCTGTTTGGCTGTACTATGGCCCACCTGTGGTAACCTGACGCTTGACCTGATAGTGTGGCTGTGGACGGCAGTCATTCTCACAGAGCTGGTCAGGAGGACGTATGTAAAACATCAGGTAGGAAATCTCTATCTCGCTAGGTACTTTGTACAATAAAACATCATTGTGAAGTTTATTTTTTTGTTTTAATAACTATTGGTGTCAAATTTGTGTCCCATGGCAAGAAATTGTCAAATGAACATCAAACACTTTAATTTCAGCTATCTTTGACTTAAAAACTAAATCCATAGGTCCACTGAGGTTTATCATTGTGCCTTGTTCAAATCACAGGCACATCAAATGTATAAAACAATTGTTTTTTAGTGATAAGGATAGGGCAGATGTCATTTTTACTTCATTCTATAAGGAAATGTTGGGAAATTAGCCTCATTGCTGATCCTACCTCACCGCACTTCAAACACTTGTAAAGGTGGGATACAATCTACCACAAGGCTATACTTTACAGCTTAATACATCTGTGATGTTATTACCACGTCATTTTTAGACAAATATTGAAAACATCTTACCTTAACTCATTCACCCCTGACGTTTCATAATGAACTATTCCAACCTTTGAATTGGAAGTTTTCAAATGTGTCTTTAGGGGTGAATGAGTTAATGGCAGGAGCTTTGGTTCAGATACTTTGATAAGAAGATAACTTGTTTCATAACTTTGATAAGTAGATAACTTGTTTCATAACTTTGATAAGTAGATAACTTGTTTGATATAAATGGAATTAGTCTCACCTATATGGTATTACAATGTATATTTCTTATATATTGAACTTTCACAGTGCAACTGTTAGAAACTTGCATTTCAGAACATACTTAAATAAGTAGTCAGTTAAAAAGATATATCTTATCCTCTTTATGATTTTTATAATTTACAGAAATACAAAACAGTTTCGTTGTTCAGCCAGTGTGCAGAGATTACCTTCATCCTGATCTTCCTCATCTTTTACCTTTTCCTGCGTATCATACCCCACTGGTTGGTGTATGCTAACATCAACGCAGCCAAGACTGTACTGAGTGTGGGACTTATCTACTTCTTCTACCGGCTATTGGGTACCTACATGCCTATCAGCCCCACCCTGGGGCCAATGTTAGTACGGATGACTCGTATGGTAAGTAAGAGTTGGTTAGCAGTACGTCTGCATGTACATTGTATATGGGGCCCATGTTTTGGAATCTAACTCTTCATTCTTAGATGGTTCTTACAAAAAATGCATATCTTATTATATAAGGTTTTCTCTGCCTGATGACAGTGTCGAGATAGGAAGATTTGAATGGTAATGTCGATATGTTGCTGATGTAGATGAGGTTCTAATGAGGGGTTGTACTATAAGCGTTTAAGTTATTTTTTGAAGTTTGCTTGCTTGTGTTTCATGAAGAATTCACAGACTGTTTTGTCTGTGAACCGCCTTTTTGTATTTTACGTATCCTTGTATACAAGCTTTTCTATTGTCTGTATTATTTTTTTTTTTTACAGAAAGACTAATATTGTAATGCTGAATTTCCCGTAACTGGATAATATTTCTTTCACGTGTCTCGAGTAATTAATACCCCGTTTTCACATTTTCTTTTCTGTTTTTCAATCTTTGTTGCACTACGTATAAAAAATTATTGAATTCCCATTTACAATTTATTCCCCCCTTTTATTGTATCTTAAGCTTAATCTTGCACTCAAGGTAAAAGATAAATTTTGAACTCTTAATCTCAATCACATATGTAGAACATTTCCTTTTTAGGTGGTTGTCTATAAGTAGAAACAGAGCTAGATTATCATTACTTACATGACACAAACACTGAGTATGTTTAACTGAAAACTGTCTACAAAAATAGCAGTGTTAATTGTACATGAAAGGGGATTTATTTAAGGTTTTGTTATTAATATCTTTGTCATTGCATATGTGTTGGATTGCACATCCTAGTTTTGTTGTTTTGCAGGTGAAACATGACTTTGTGGCATTTATACGTATGTTTCTGATCTTCCTCATATCTGGTGGGGTGACTATCCAGGCCGTCCTCTACCCTAACTACCCACTCGGCTACGATCTCATCAAGAAGGTCCTCACTCGTCCACTCTTTGCCATGTTTCTCACCAAGATTGATGACCTGGATGGTAAATTATCTTAAATTTAATTTTTTAATTCTGACAAGTAATTTCTTACAGTCATTGAAAACAAATAATTAGAAAAGCGTAATTACTTAATGACAAATTAAAATATTATGTTTTGAGATTCTATTTAAAGCGAATAGTTTGTCTGGGGTAAAGCAGTAGATATCAGTGTACAATGCTCATCTAATAATGTGATAATTCATTTGCTTGTTTTTGATGAGTGATAATGAATCCTAGTGCTAATTAGTTAGTGTACGTATTGTGTTCACATACTGACATGCATGGGACATGATATATGTCTACAGGACTTTTTAATCCATGTAAATTACGTAGATGAGTTGAGGAATGTATAGTAACCAATGTTTTAGATTCTAATAAATGAAATGTGTGACAGTATTTGAGCCTTTCTTTTCATAAAAGTACATTGTGCCTGTCATTGATGGTCTATAATGCCTGCTTGCTTTAGATACATGTGGGGTTGTATTTTGGAGGTTGGTACAGGAACAGCTTGTCTGTCCATCTGTCCGTCTGTCCATCTGTTCATCTGTCAAAAGGCACAACATTTTCCTGACAACTAGTTCCTGATTTTTCATCTGATTTTCTAGAAACGTTTTTGACTTTCACACTGAGTTGTGTATATATAATTTAATCTTTTTTGTAACAAGCATTTTCATTGGCTTACAAATTTGTGTTATCAGCCCATAACGTAAAAAAATGACGTCGCTTTTGATTAGCTGATACAGCGGCGTAATGATTTCTAAGAGAAAAGAGTCCATCAATAAAAGTGGATTTCTTCAGGGATTGTGTATAGTAGATTAAATTATAAGGATTGACTTGAATATATTTTTTATGTTATGGAGCTATAACACAAAAAACCGGAGTGTACTCTCATCATAAACCACTTCACGGTTTATTTTGAGTACACTCCGTTTTTTTGTGTTATATCTCCATAACATGAAAAATACATTCAAGTTAATCCTTAAGTATCCAATATTCCAATACCAATTCTTTTAAACTTGTTGGTGACAATAACTATAGTACTTCATAAATGTATGTTTCTATAGAGCAATACTGTTCCCATGATGTTTAAATATGGTATACACATATATGGATGAGTGGGGATATTTAACTCTTCCAATTCAAAGAGTTGGTATTAAGTTCATTATGAAATTTCAGGGGTGAATGAGTAAAGTCAGATTTTGGCTTACAATTTAATCGAAAAAAAGTAGTTACATTTCATTTGAAAAGTGATCAAATCCTTAGAATGTTGTTCCAATGAATTTTGTAAATTTACAGTAAATGAAATAAAATCTATCTTCTATATTCAGGAACTCCTGCCTGTAATGCCTACAATGATGCTAATATGTCTACACACCATTGTCTAGCAGGTAATTATAAGTCTGGTTACAGCAATGCTAATATGTCTACACACCATTGTCTAGCAGGTAATTATAAGTCTGTTTATAGCAATGCTAGTATGTCTACACACCATTGTCTAACAGGTTATTATAAGTCTGGTTACAGCAACGCTAATATGTCTACACACCATTGTCTAGCAGGTAATTATAAGTCTGTTTATAGCAATGCTAGTATGTCTACACCCCATTGTCTAACAGGTTATTATAAGTCTGGTTACAGCAACGCTAATATGTCTACACTCCATTGTCTAGCAGGTAATTATAAGTCTGGTTATAGCAATGCTAGTATGTCTACACACCATTGTCTAACAGGTTATTATAAGTCTGGTTACCGCAACGCTAATATGTCTACACACCATTGTCTAGCAGGTAATTAGGAGTCTGCTAACAGCAATGTTAATATCTCTACACACCATTGTCTAGCAGGTAATTAGGAGTCTAGTAACAGCAATGCTAATATGTCTACACACCATTGTCTAGCAGGTTATTAGGAGTCTGGTAACAGCAATGCTAATATGTCTACACACCATTGTCTAGCAGGTAATTAGGAGTCTGGTTACAGCAATGCTAATATGTTTACACACCATTGTCTAACAGGTTATTAGGAGTCTGGTTACAGCAATGCTAATATGTCTACACACCATTGTCTAGCAGGTAATTAGGAGTCTGGTTACAGCAATGCTAATATGTTTACACACCATTGTCTAGCAGGTTATTAGGAGTCTGGTAACAGCAATGCTGATATGTCTACACACAATTGTCTAGCAGGTAATTAGGAGTCTGGTTACAGCAATGCTAATATGTTTACACACCATTGTCTACCAGGGAATTAGGAGTCTGGTTACAGCAATGCTAATATGTCTACACACCGTTCTCTAGCAGGTTATTAGGAGTCTGGTTACAGCAATGCTTATATGTCTACACACCATTGTCTAGCAGGTTATTAGGAGTCTGGTAACAGCAATGCTGATATGCCTACACACAATTGTCTAGCAGGTAATTAGGAGTCTGGTTATAGCAATGCTAATATGTCTACCCACCATTGTCTAGCAGGTAATTATAAGTCTGGTAACAGCAATGCTATTATGTCTATTCACCATTGTCTAGCAGGTAATTATAAGTCTGTTTATAGCAATGCTAGTATGTCTATTCACCATTGTCTAGCAGGTAATTATAAGTCTGGTTACAGCATTGCTAGTATGTCTACACACCATTGTCTAGCAGGTTATTATAAGTCTGGTTACAGCAATGCTAATATGTCTACACACCATTGTCTAGCAGGAAATTATAAGTCTGGTTAAAGCAATGCTAATATGTCTACACACCATTGTCTATCAGGTAATTAGAAGTCTGGTTACAGCAATGCTAATATGTCTACACACCATTGTCTAGCAGGAAATTATAAGTCTGGTTATAGCATGCTAATATGTCTACACACCATTGTCTAGCAGGTAATTAGAAGTCTGGTTGCAGCAATGCTAATATGTCTACACACCATTGTCTAGCAGGTAATTATAAGTCTAGTTACAGCAATGCTTTTATGTCTACACCATTGTCTAGCAGGAAATTATAAGTCTAGTTACAGCAATGCTTATATATGTCTTACTGGTTGTAGCCTGTCAGATCATAGATACAGTGTAAGTTTACATAGCTATTTATGACAGCATCAATAGTTTTACTAGTTCCTGGCTGGTAAGTGAATATCTCATATTAATAATTCAATATTTGGGCTATCAAATCTTAGTACATGTATTATGTGCAGTGATAGTTCAACCAAAGTGTTGAAATGTTATGAAATCACTCGCAGATTTCTCAAAAACTGTTTGTCATTCATTAAGTGCTGAGATTGAAATCTTGGTCAGAAGTAATATATTTCTCATCAGACTTTATGTTCCATTGTAACCTTGATGTTTTTACTTCTGATTTTTGTTTTTCACAATTGCGTCAGGAATATATTCACACAGATAATAATATATCACGTAATGTACTGTGTAATCCAGTGAATATACCCATGTCATATTTTTTTGTGTATTAACACATGTTATATGACCTATCAGCCCGATGATTGTTTGAAAGTTTCAATTGTTTCAATTGTGACGACGTCACGCTCAGGACAAGTACATGACGTCACAGACTTAGTCACTAGAGTCAAAATGGCGTGTTTTTACATTTCAAGGTTGCATGAAAATTGTCGTTTCACACGAAGAAATGCCACAAATCTTGATTATGTGATAAAAAGGATCTTACACTCATTTTCATTTTATATGAAATTTATGAAACTTGTAACGAATTTTTCATATTAGCTCGGCAGCGGCTCACTAAATTAAAAAATTCTTAGACTTGTTTCATAAATCTCATATGAAATGGAAACTGATGTAACATTTTATATATATATGTGATATTGCATTATTGTTTAAATGACCTGAAAACATTCACTGTTTATTTCAGAGCCGACTCAACCAGGACCTGAACTTCCAGGTAATTATTGAATGAGTCAAGCCGAGTTCTTATGTAGACTGACATTTTATGGATTAAATTTGAGATAGGTAAAAAAAATTCACACTGCTTGAATATGGCAAATCCGACATTTGTATTTTTATTTTTTTTGGTTATTCAGTTAACTTACAATGTTATGGTTTCAACCAAACCTGAACAAATATTAACAGTCTTTGTTTGGTTGAAATCTTGCTCTTTTTTACTTTAAGGAGGTTGATATTTAATCAAGCATGATAAATTAGGTAGACAGTTGTAGATATACATACAGAAAAACCTGAAGAGCCCTGTGAAGGGTGAAAGCAGCTAGTTTTTTAGTCGGTCGTTAGTTTTTTTTTCTTTCTATAATTACTTACTTCACATGGACATTTAATCCTTTTTTTTCCCCCGCTTCTAATTTCACAGAAAATGGGGATATTAATTTGGTTTTGTCCATGTGTCACGCTTCATTTCCATGCAATAACTAAGACAAATGTTAACCAATTTTCTTCAAACTTGGTAGCAGGGTTTAATGCCTTAAGGACTCGGCCAAGTTTGACAGCCACTTCAATCGTACTCCATTTGGCGGAGATATGGCTCCTTGAATAACGAAAAACGTCAATATCTGCCGTTTCTGTTCATTAACTCTCGCAAATATCATCCGATTGTCTTCAAACTTAGTAACAGGGTTCAACGCATTAAGGCTCGGCCAAGTGTAACAACCAGTTTAATAGGACTCCATTTGGCAGAGTTATGGCCCCTTGATTAACGGTAAACAGTATTTTCTGCAGTTTCTGTATAAGGCTTTTTTTCTTTCTTATAGTTACAAGCTATACATTACATTGTATGTCTCAACACACAGTACTCACATGTTTAAACCTAACCTCAATAATGTTTACCTACAATATGTCCTGCAAGCGGGGGATATAAATTCCACGAATTTGCTTATTATTATACATACAGATATATATATAGCTTGCCAGCATCAATTTATCATCATGTACTTTTGTTTCATCCTCAATACTCTAGTAGTTATGCTCACTTTCGCTCTCCGCACCCTTGGAATGTGTCATAGAAAAATCGAAGACTTTGTGTGCAGCACCTTGTGGATGAGACGAGAAGACTACTTTGATCCTTTGAATCTTGCGGTGTTATAACAGTAAAATTGACTCTTTTGAAGTCGGGTGTCGCTCCTCTGTTATCTTCAAAGGATAGCTGTTAACCCTTTCACCACTGTAGACCATAATGGACTCCTCCAGATCAATGCATGGTAAAGTCTACTAAAGTTACATAGGGGTGAAAGGGTTAAGCTATCAGCCTAGGGATTAGTCAGGTTAATCTTTTACCGGAGACAAATCAAATAGCTTGCCATGTGGTTTCAGTGTTGCTATGACATATTCAAGGGGTAAAGAGAGCGGAAGTAAGCATAACCTATCTGAAGACTAGTATCGAGGATGCTATGTTAAAGTTTAATAAGTAACTGCCAGCAAAAGAAATGGAAAAAAGTCTGTTATGTGCTATCACAAAAAAGTCTGTTATATGCTATCACAAAAAAGTCTGTTATATGCTATCACAAAAAAAGTCTGTTATATGCTATCACAAAAAAGTCTGTTACATGCTATCACAAAAAAGTCTGTTACATGCTATCACAAAAAAGTCTGTTATATGCTATCACAAAAAAGTGGGTTTTTTTGTGAAAAGATTCATGTAGCCCAACTAATAAGTGTTTATATGTGACACTGGGGCAATGAAAACCTGTGCATATCTGGAATGGTCCCTTAAATCATAGTGTAAAAGTAAGGGGAAGGAACAAAACCAAAGCTTAGGTCAAAAACAACCACAATACGGGTTAGTAGAATGCATGAACATTATATGTATTTTCTGGTGCTTATATGGATACATGCAATAATGGGCATGTATGTTTGTATTTACATGCATGTGTACGTATGTAAGTGCATGCATACTTGCTGATGTTAGTGTGTATGTACGTGCATGTGTATGCATGTATGTATATACGTATGTAGGTCGTAGGAGTGTATGTTATGTACGTATGTATATGTGTATGTATATGTGTGTGTATAAGTGTTTTGTTAATGTTTAGTGATTATGATACTGATGTATATGTAAACATGTCTGGATGTGTGTGCTGTGTGTAAAATGTGGTACATGTAGTATGTTCTTGTTCTGTAGATGTCCAATACTCTATATACAAATGTTTTATTTCCCAATCAAATTTCTGAATGTTATATTGATGAAAAAATGTTATGAAGTTGAAATATTTGAATTTAGATAAAATTAGCAGAGAAAAATGAATGAGAGCCCTCCTGTGTGAGGACACCATNAAAAAAAAAAAAAAAAAAAAAAAAGCAGAAACCATCCAGAGGAAATATCGTGGTCATGCCATAGCAACAGCCATAAAGACCCAAAAGACGCTTCGTAATATCCTAGTTCACGCTAAGGATAAAACACTTAAAGAAAACGTCACAGAATGGGTATAAAAAATTGAATGCAAAATCTGTGACGCATCATATATTGGAGACACTGGATGGCAATTTGGGGCCCGCCTTGGTGAACACAGGAAAGAGACAGAAATCCAAAAAGAAAGAAATTCCCCCGATCTGAAAGGAAGCAGTAGGAGTCCCAGATCAACAAATTGGTAATCACAGACCATGCCACACAGAAAAATCATGTGATTTACTGGGATAACACCAAAATATTGGACAGAGAGAGCATTCTGTTCAAGCGGCAGATAAAGGAAGCCATCTGGATACGCTGCAGTGGGCCAGTTCTAAATCGAGATGAGGGTGCTCATATATAAACTCTCACATCTATGACCAAGTATTTAACAAAGTGTAGTCAAATTGAGTCATTTTGGTACATATATAACAACTAATTGTACATACGCTTACAGTGTAGCCGAATCGACATCGATTTGCGTGGTCAACTCGAACACATTTTACACCTTTGTGTATATACCTTACTAGCCATCAAAGCATCGCATATAAACACTTATTTGTTGTGCTACATGAATCTTTTGAACAATCCATACTTACAAACTTGAAGAAAATGTTAAGAAAATATTTTTTAGCTCACCTGCCCGAAGGAAAGTGAGCTTATAATTATGCCATGGTGCAGCGTCCGTCTGTCCAGCGTCAACTTTTTACTTTAAACAACTTTTCAGTAACCAAAAGGCCTAGGATGATGATACTTTGCCAGTAGCATGCTGGAATCAAGGGCTACCAAGTTTGTTCAAATGAATGACCTTCATCAATTTTCAAGGCCACCGAGGTCAAATATGTTAAAATCTTTGAAAGACTTCTGAATAACCAAGAGGCCTAGCTAGGGTGATGATATTTGGCCAGTAACATGCTGGGATGAAGGGCTACCAAGTTTGTTAAAACAAATGACCTTCATCCATTTTTAAGGTCACAGGGGTCAAATATGTTGGCCAGGAGCATGCTGGGATGAAGGGCTACCAGGTTTGTTCAAACAAATGACCTTCACCCATGCATTTTTAAGGTCACAGGGGTCAAATATGTTTAAAACCTTTAAAACAACTTCTTCTCAATAACCAAGAGGCTTAGGATAATGATATTTGGCCAGTAACATGCTGGGATGAAGCACTACCAAGTTTGTTCAAACAAATGACCTTCGCCCATTTTCAAGGTCATAGGGGTCAAATATGTTTAAAACCTTTAAACAACTTATTCTCAATAACCAAGAGGCCTAGGATGATGGTATTTGGCTAGTAGCATGCTTAGTTAAAGGGCAACCAAGTTTGTTCTAGCGAGTGACCTTGACATATGTTTAAAACCTTTGAACGACTTCTTCTGAATTACCAAGAGGCCTAGGGTTATGATATTTTGCCAGTTACAGTAGATGCTGGGATAAAGGGCTACCAAGTTTGTTCAAATGAATGACCTTCGCTCATATTGAAGGTCACAGGGATCAAATATGTTTAAATCTTTAAATGACTTTTTCTGAATATTCAAAAGGTCCAGGGTAATGATATTTGGCCAGAAGCATGCTGGGATGGAAGGCTATAAACTCTGTTCAACTTAATGTCCTTGTTCGACTTTCAAGGTTCACAGGCATCATAGGTTTAAATCATTTAATAGATTCTAATTAATCGAACACAGACATTTTTGCCTGTAGCTGTATATTAGTCCACTTTTAAGATTACAAGTGTGAGATTAATACCAGGTGACCGATTCAGGCTCATTGGGCCTCTTGTTTTTTGAAGATTTAGTTTGAGAAATGTCTAGTGTAGCATGATAACTGTTTGTAACACATTTAATATATTAATAGAATACCATGATGTTGGCTCTACCCTAGCCTTGTTTTAACCTCTTGTACAATAGAAAGTATAGAGGGTTACACGATTGTAATACAGTGCCTCTGACTTTATTGTAATATGTTTCAGATCACATTATTTCCTGCTCAGTAGGAAGTATAGGGGGATACCTGATTGTGATCCAGTACCTCCTCATCTGTAAGCTTGTACTAGTAACACTCCTGTTTGCTATGTTTGCGTGAGTATTCCGGCACAAATCGATCTCATGGACACCCAATTCTGAACAAATCTCATCGACACTCAGTTCTGAACAAATTGTCTCTTATACTTGATATTAGAAATAGAGTGTTAAGCAATATAGGGATTAAGCAAGACTCAATTTACTGCTGGTTAGAGGAATTTTCACTTGAGAATTTCCATAAAATGTTCTCTCTAGAATTCCCCCCTTTCATCAGGGTAATTTTCCTCTTACCTCCTCCTTTCCTTTTTTCAGTGATTTTTCACATGGTTTTGAAATATTCTCAACCTTTTAAAGAGCAAACTATTGTGTTTCTCTTAATTGATTAAATTGATAATGAAACAATATACATCAATGTATTTGCGCTAAAAGATTTTTTATGACAAACTACCAGGCTTGCAATTTTTTTTCATATTCCACCTAATTTTGCATAGAGGGATTATACAGTCTGAAGCATGCTTAGAGACAAAATCAATTTTGTATAAACTGAGGTGTTTGGACCCCCTTCTTTGGGGCAGATGGGTTGGGCCCATTAGGGGAAATAGAGGAAAACATTAAAGATCCTTCTCCTTCTGTACCGATGAAGGGATTTTAACCAAACTTGTACTAGAGCATCTTTGGGCAAACAGAATTTAATATCTATAAACGGAGGATGTGCCTCTTGTTTTATTTCATGTTAATGCAATTAAGATGTTTTAAACAAAATACATATGATGGGTTCTTTGTTTTCATCTTGTAAACGATTTTGTTTCTTTGCCAGCCTTACAATCACAAAAGTGGATAAGGAGGCTGGTCAGATTTGGAAGTTTCAGCGGTATGCACTGATAGTGGACTTTGAGGAGCGACTGTGTCTGCCCCCTCCCCTCACCCTCATCAGTTACATCACCATGGTCCTTGTCTTCTTCTACAGTCAGCTCTTCGGCTGTCACAAAGGTTGCCTGTGTTGCTGTTGCTTCAAGAAACAGGCAAAGGTAAATGCTACCACTACAATAGATTTAGTTGCAAAGAAGGAGTTATTCCCATCATCAGTTCAAATCCTAGATCTTCTGGTTTTTGCTTTTGTTAATTTTTCTTTTAGAATGCTCATTTAACAAATTCAGTCTTTCTTTTGGACATTGTTTTGCCATGTTTCAAATCTGGATCCACATGTTGTACAATAATTCAGAGATCATATAATACCAAAAGGCAAATTACATTGTATACACCAATGATATAAAGGATCGTCTGGAGATGTGTATCAACTTTGTCCGTTAATATCCTTCAAATTTCTTATCCTTTAGTACTGTTTGTTGTTTTGATCAGGAAGCAGATCAAATGCTTGATGTTGGCTGGTATAACATTGCTTTTTTGAAGTAACCTGTTTCAAAATATTGCTTGATCTACGAAACAGAAATTTCTTATTTACAGTAAGTAACACCGTTGTTAGCTTCATGGACAGAGTTGTCCAGTGATTGAGGCACTGTCCAGTGATTGAGGCACTGTCCAGTGATTGAGCCACTGTCCCGTGATTGAGCCACTGTCCAGTGATCGAGCCACTGTCCAGTGATTGAGCCACTGTCCAGTGATTGAGGCACTGTTCAGTGATTGAGCCACTGTCCAGTGATTGAGAGGCACTGTCCAGTGATTGAGGCAGTGAAGGCACTGTCCAGTGATTGAGGCACTGTCCAGTGATTGAGCCACTGTCCAGTGATTGAGCCACTGGTCTTAATTCCATCCAAACTGTTTGATCCCTGAAACATGTTTAGAATTTTAAAAGATTAGTCCCTGATACATGTTTAGAATTTTAAGAGATTCTATACTGTATCTCATTTGCCTTTGCTACCAGTATATAGTCCAACAGAACTAATCCTGTTGTAGATCCTGTGTACATGTCTACGGTGGTATTCGTGTATCCCGCTTGAAACGGTTCAGGTGGCGCATAAATATTCCACGATAAACGAATGCACTTGGACTGAACTGTAAGCAGAGCTAAGATATGCACAGTTTAGGAGAATAAATAACATTATATCCAGAATAATATGTCCTTCTTTCACGTGTCCAGAAAATTATTTTAGTTTCGATCAGGCATGTCTGGACCCCTTAATCTACATGTACTGACGTGCAAAATATTCCTGATGTCGGCCTTGGTTCAGATCTGTGCCTGTCGTTTTCTTTCAGGTTCAATTGGTTGACTGGATTACATGTACGCAACCTAGATGTATACTCGATCCTGAAGGAAGAGTGGTACAGTCTTCACAGACAATTCTTGCATAAGTTGTAAATAGAGGCATGTAAAATCTCCTGAAAAAAAATAGTGGTACAGTCTCTGCAGATGAATTATTACATGTAATAGGTGGCAGCTTAAACGGATGTAGCAAAGTATAAAAATAAAATCATAGGATCAAACATAGGATGGAGCTTTTCATTGGAACTGAAATGTCTCCCTGTTATATATATATGCTGCCTTTGTATGATTTCAGAGGAAGAAAACTGAGAAGATGGTCCACAAAGTACAGAGGATTAAACAGTCCCAGGACTATAACTACTGGCAGAAGTGTGCCTCGGAGTACATCACCACCCAAGATAACGAGCAAGAGAGCCAAACCATCGTCAACAAACAAACGGAGATGTAAGTCTCACCGGTATAAAAGGAACAGAGTCATTGTTAGTCTCACATTTTACTTTGTGAGGTGATTCAATATGTCTCACATGCTCATCAGGCTAGGAGGAGAGTCAGCCATGCTCTATTGTATTCAAGGTAAAAATAGTTTTGGATGTGAATTAAGTATTATTAATGGAGTGCCTTTATCAAGACACATTTTCCTCAAACAATAGGTCGTATTTTGACTATTTTCCCACCATTCCAAATTTATAAAATGGTTTATCATTCTAACAGATAACGATCCATGGCAGCTTTGAGCTTACTCAAGTAAAACAACACCATTTGAGTGGTGTAAGTTGTCTTATTAACAAAACTAACCTGACAACTTTGGAAAATATGAAGTCAAGAGGGACAATGAAAATTTGGATTTTTTATGACAGATTTCTTCGGAAATATCAAAAAAGGAGCTTTCATTTTTCTACAAAAACTTGAAAAGATTTGATTTCTAGTTGAACCTTTTTTGAAAAATGATTATAATGTAAATGAAAATTCTCCCTAGCTATGAATTGGTAATTGTCATTTTTGTTGATGATTTCAGCATCAATTCTATACAAGAGGATATGAATTTCCAGAAGAAGAACATGCGCCTTCTGAACAACAGGATTGTGGAGCTAGAGAAAATTATGCTATCCAGTCGGATGTACCTGGAGAATATCTACCACAAACTGGACAAAACAGGTACATTATTTTCCTTCCAGATTCATAGAGTTGGCAAATCTTTATTTTTGATACTGCAATGAAAACGATAAAAATTGCTTAATTAATTCAGATAATATAAGTTTATCAGTGTTAATACAGAAATTTATCAATACTTGAATGTTTAATAAATTGTACATATAATGTGTGTCTCCCTGGCAATGACTTAAGAAACTGGAGTCTGTTCTTGATTCAAGCACACAATTCATGTATATGATAAAATATCAATACATTTAAAAAGTTGTTTTGAAAAGCATCCCAATTTGATAACGGATCCTTATATTCTTCGAATTTGATATTGCTGAACTAGCAACATGAAAAGATGTTCACTGTAAAATTTTCATTTCATAGGTCTAATTTTGACAATGAAAATATCTCATTAAGTTTACCCAAAGGTCTTCCATTGCTCAATGTAGATTCTTGATTTCTACTTTTATAATAGTACTTGAAGTTTGCCAGGTTGTAGATTAGTTACTTCTGAATATTCCTTAAAAAGCAGTCACTAAATTTTCATTTAAAATACTTAAAATGCCGTTAAAAATAGTTTATTTTAACATTCATGTTAACAACATGTTTGTATGTATGGCTAACCAATCAGTATGGTTATATGTTGTAAAGAATCGGGATTTTTCAAAAACATGGAATGATGGTCAATCATTTGGCTTGTTAAGTAAAATCATGGTAATTCTTTCTGTACAGATGTGTTCGGTGTGTCTAACACAAAAGGACAGATCATCCATATCACGGCCCGACAGTCACCCTACCCAGGCACGCGCATAGCACGCTTCCCTGTGTTTGATAAATATGTTCCATGGGAGGTATGTATGAGGCTATATTTACTATGAAATTGTAACAGGTAAGTCATTATAGATTTGTTGTCAAGTCGCCTGGTTCAGAGGACCGAGGTATGAGGTCGTTGTACATTGGCATCATTCTTTTTTGTCATCTATCTGACATCTATCATCATATTCTTCAAAAACTTCTTCTTAAGAACCACAAAACCTAGAGTCATAATATTTGCCCTTATAGCTTGCTGGATTAATGAAGGCCTATCAAATTAGTAAGAATGAATTACATTGATCAACGTTCAAACTTAAGATAACAGGTCTTAGAGAAATACATGTTCAGATCTTTGAAACTATTTCTTCTAAAAATTCATGAGAAGACTTTAGATAGCAGCTCTGGTCTTTAATTGACTGAGACATTTCTGGTTTAAATTTAAAGAAAGTATGTGTTTCTTTGTTTTAGCAAGCTTATGATGTGTATGACCCTAAGATCTACACCAAACCAAAGGACCAGTTCTGTGAGGACGAAATGGTGTTTGTGGACGAGGATCTGATTCAGTGAGTAAATTATCCTTAGCTATTTATCCAGATGCTTCAGAAATATTTCCAGCAACAATTTAATTACTTTAACCTGAAACAGTATCATGATTTTGAGTGCAATGCATAAGCATTCATTGTAACAATGAATTCTCATTTTCTGTTATTCCCTGTTCAGTGTTCAAGTTCTGTCCATACCAGATATCATTTTCGGACTTTGTTTGCATGAAATTTTCCCTTCCCTTCTATTAGCCAGCAAAATATATATGTTCCAATAATGTGTATAAAATGCAGGGGTTAGTTCTTTTTCCGGTTCATATATCAAAAACAACACTGAAGAAAATAGGAAATTGTATCATCATAATGACAAAATGGAGGTTAATTTACTATCGATGTTAGTACCGTAAAAACATCGATAGTAAATTAACCTCCATTTTTATTAGTTTTATAATATTATCATAATATTAGTTTTGCTTTTTTTTCTGCAAATTTTGTTTAAAAAAAATGTGTATATTTTTGATAAATTTGTTTGTACAATGTTCTTATTTGTCAGAACAAAAACCAGAAGCAAAAGCTTTCTGAAGCAGAATTACACAAACAAACATATTATAGTGTGAATACAAGTTATCTCAGTGTAATTGATATTGTGAACACATTTGGTACATGTTTTGTGAAGTTTATTGATCCAGCTGCCACAAGTTAAAGCTGGTTCCCTTACAGTCCAGCTACTGTAATATAAGACATTTTTCTGTGTTTTTTCTAATTCTGTTCATTTTACAGATTTAACCACGGTGAACAAATGTGGATTGATTATAATCACATTCAACTGTGTAGAATATATAACTGTGAAGGATTGCTTTCATGCACATAAATGTTCATGTATACATTTGTATGTGCACATGTGTAGCATATGTTTGCTTACTTGCTGTAGAATACTGGCCTCAGTTGAACCCAATAGTACATCTCCTTAACAATTTAACACTGTGTTGTCTCGACAGATTGAAGAAAGCACAGGAAGAGCGAGACAGGATGACAGAAGAAGAGAAGGAGTCCTTACCTCCCTTGGCTAAGTTCTCCCCTAAATGGAATTCAGTGGTGACTTACAGACAGGAATCTCACACACGAGCCATTGACAGGCGGTCTTGGATCTCCTTTAATAACCAGCCACTCCGATACAGTCTGGACCCAATGGAAACACCAATGTAAATGAAACTTGCAGTCTCAATATTAATGTCCAGTGCCCGTATCACTGGAACCCCCTGATCAACTCCCCACAACTTGCCCATGTTGGTTCACCCAGTGTCCCTAGCTCTACTTTCAATGTCTATAACTCTGGATCAGCCCCCAGTAGGTGCATACACTGCATTTCCAACTCAATCTCCATAGCATTGGTTTATTCATTGTCCCTAACTCTGGGTCCCCCCATTTTGTGTATTCGCTGTGTCTGTAACTGGACAATCTCCCATAGTAAGTTTGTCGGGTTTCCAAAGCACTGCTCTCCTTTGTTTTTAAGTCAAGGTCAGAATGCAGGTACATAATCATGTGTTTCAAAATGAATCTGTTGTACAGGACTATCCTAGAACAATATAGTAAAAACATACGTTAGACAACGTATTAGGAAATTGAGAGATTCGTCCAATTTGGAGATTGTTAGTCAGACATACCGTAAATTTGCGCGTATAGCTAGTGCACACTTTTTTAGGTAAATATCATCATGTCAAAAAGGGGGTGCGCACTATATACGCAGGAACAAGTTTTTGGTCCGCCATATTGGATTACCTCCCTTCAAATAGTTTTATTTCGAGTCGTCGGTCATATACTATCAGATTGAAGATTAAAATAACAACAAAGAATGAAATTCTTTGGCGACACAATTTTTATNGGGGGGGGGGGGGGGGGGGGGGGGGGGGGGGGGGACATATTTTTAATACAACTGACCTGGCAAGATGTAGTATAATATATCATTATCCATCCATAGTTTGTCTGTTTATATTTTATTGTCTGGACCATCACTTCTAATTAACAAATGGAAATATTTCAATGGCACTTCATTTACATAAATAAACTATCACATTTACAGTTTACAAGTGTGATCAATGTAGTCCTCTTACTAAACAAATATTTTAACGATAATTTTGTTTTGGTCACTAGTAACTGTGTTAAAATTCCATAGAGTTCAAGTTTAAAGGTTTGCGTAAGGATTAAGAAAAATTGATTGGCATACTAAAATATCATCAATGATATTTTCACTGTATAATTCAAAGATATTCTTGTTTACATAGCAATTCAATGGGAAGAACTGGTCTGAGAGGGCGTGGTCTATTATGGCGCTGGGGCCCAAACCATGTTATTAAGGCAGTTTGTACCAGGTGGCGCCACAAGTACAGCGATAACGAAGACGCACAGACTGGCTTCCTGTATGTGGAGGGTAAACGTGTTCTTGAATTTATTGCCATTAAAAAGCTTGGTGATGAAGTAACAATGGATTCCGGATCCACATATGGCCTTCCTGGGGTAAGGTTTACTTCACCATGTCTATACATGTATCTGTCACTGTCAGAGAATGATGATGTTTACCAATTCAATACTGTACAGGTATATAAAGACCTTTTTTATGAAGTTTGAGCATATATGTATTGATAACAGAGTTTTGCTGAATGTGTGTTTTGACTGTATTTGTGACAATGTTGCTGTCTATTTTTGACAGGGAGCCCTACACGGACACATCTCTCCGTACAGTATGCAGTGTCAGGCATTCATGAGGGATGTTCTCATGGAGGACCAGGACCCCAAAAATAACCTGGATCAGGCCGACATGATACAGGTATCAACCGCCTTCTACTTGTTTACACCATTCTTGAGGAGTAGTTGATTAAGATTAGTATCAAAGAAAACAAATCACCTATCTAAACTAGTGATTTAAGTGTGTAAGACTCGCTGTCAATTTTGTTCATACAATGTGAGGCAAAGATATCATTGAATGAGTTTGAGTTCATGAATCTATATTTTTGATATAAAATGTTCCCCTTTGAATGTTATTTTAGGGCTCACTCTTCCTTCGTCTGTTCCTCTAACCAGTAAAATCATCGTTCACAAATTGCCTAGTGGCTACATAAAAAATAGCTTGCTCAGGATATTTAATAGTTTTTCTATTGTTATATTATAAGATACTCAAATCTTTCTTATGCAGTCAATTATAACACCGTGAACATTGATTTTACTCGAAAAAATCTATTTAAACAACTGTACAAAATTGATAATTACACTTTAAAAAATCAAAGGTGTTTTACAATATCTGATGAAAGTTTATTTTTTCAGCCCTAATCTGTTGATAATAATTTACTTACAGTACTTTGCCCAGTTTTCGGCTAACGTGAGTACCCCTGTCCGGACACCGGTCACACAACTGCCCAGTCCCGTGTCCAGTGCCACCACTCAGATGTCCTCAATCCAGCCTTTCCTGACGCGGACCAATTCCAGGACCAGTCTTCGTACACATGGAGACGGGGACAGTTCAGGCTTTAGTGCATCCTTGCTCTATAAGGGCTATGTGGACGACCCTCGTAACACCGACAATGCTTGGGTGGAGGCTGAGGTGTGGAACTTCCATTACGATGCTGGAGACACATTCGATTCTACGATTCCGGAGGTGGGTACACTTATAAATGCAATGGAGTGGTTAGTGCCTGTTCACAGTGTTTTTGTTACCTAAATTTTAGAACAGCCTGTTCCTTAATGAATTGGCAAAATATAGCATTATTTGTATTGAAATCAGGAATATATTCCTCAGTTTTGGGTCATTTTGCGAAAAACCAGGCACTTTTTAGCTAGGGGAAACAGCCTTTATTTGGCAGTAAAACTGAGCAAACAAAATCACTGGTTCAGTTTCGCCTTTCTGTTAAAAAACCCGTCAATGTTGAGATGGTCAAGAAATTTTCATTTTCTTTGTTCATAGAGTAACAAATGAAGGCGAAATATAGTTTATACAATTGCAAGACAGTTTCATTATTTATTTTATAACAGGACAGTTCACCAACGTGGAAGGAAGTTTCACCGAATGTGAAGATTTTCGGAAACGAAGGTGCCATTGTACAAGAGGCTGCAAAAATTCATGATGCATATCATTGACACAGAAAGTGTCTAGAATGTAACTACCACTGATGCCTGCCTTGTATAGTACATAGCTCTGTCTCAAGAGATACTAGCCTAGAACTGAGTACTTAGCAAACATTCTGTAATTATCTGTAGCTGCTTACAGCTGGTTGTAATAATTAAACTTACTATTGTCAGCATTTGGGTTCTAGATTGTATTTTTCCCTTCACAATTCTATAGTCATAAGTTTTACATATTGATTCAAGTTGATGAAGAAAAAAAATCAAAAACCATTTACAATCTTTCTAAAAAGTTATTTACAAAGATATACACTTGAATGGTAATAAAAATGAAGACATAATTCAGTGACATTATTTCTACTCTGCATAATACCCCTTGACAATAAAAACCATAAGGGAAGGGTCGTTGTTATATCCGAGAAGTTTCTAAATATTTTTAGTTTGTCCTGATATATCACAAGAGAATATATGGTATTAATGGTTTTTCTCATGTCAGTATTTTATTTTTGAAGTATGTTGGTCTGAACAAGTGTTTTATAGGACTTAATCTCAAACCAAGTAGAGGAAGGGTGACAGTAATGATCAGTATTGCTAGTCCGAACTTCACTAACTCATTCACCCCTGAAATTTTAAAATGAACTTTTCTAACCTTTGAATTGGAAAAGTTCAAATGTGTCTTCAGGGGTGAATGAGTTACCGGTAATGGTGTTCATTGTAATCACAACTTTTACATAATAGTACATGTACAATGTAATATTTTATTTCCAATAATTGTCACTCAAAATATCTTTGCTAGAAGTTAGTTTTTGCCATAAAGTTCCTAAAACTGAGGTAACACTGGAGAAGTTTTAATTTATTGGATGAAAAGTAATTTTAATTGTCAAGTTTTAAGAAATAATGATCTTTCAATTGCATGGTGATATATTTGAGATATTTAATTGATATGGGAAGTTTTATCATTTAATAGTCTTTTTAAGTATTATGTAATTTTAAAAATAGATGTCGCATAAGTACATCGTAAATTTTAAGTAAGATAGCTAACTTATATGTCCTTGCATTTTCAAAGAAGCTTGAAATCTGCTTGCATAATGGATGTAATCAGCCCAAGTTCTAAAAGGATCATAATCACGATTTATTATTATAGATACATATTTGACAAGTACATCCCAGAAGGAAATATTGATTCCACATATTTGCTGTTGTGATTTGAATCTTGACTTTTATTTGAATATTCTTCAATTTTATTTTTAAGTTATATGGATAAAAGCCAAAAACTGTCCAATAAGTTAGAGAAAGGACAGCTGAAGTGACATCATTGCTATGTTTTAATGTAAATTTATAAAAATTTGTGCCCGATTTCACTACATGTAGTATAAAATGAAATGTTGTATTTTACTTTAAGTGTTATTGTGAGCCACAACTAAATCATTTGTTTTGTTGTTGCACTGTTATTTTTCTAATTATTAAATGTTATTCAGGATTTTTTTATCATTCTAAAGTTTCCTGTTTGATAATTGAAGTTTTACCTCCATGGCACCTGTATCAAGTATTTGATATTGTCTACGAAAAGAGCAATAAAATTGAATTTCATGTAAAGTCATGACTCCATCAGAATATAAATGTGTATTTCATGTCTTTTGATGTTTTTTATTATAATAATAATATAATAATAATTCAAGGTTCTTATATACCGCTTTATCACAACGTGGTTCACAAATTATTATTATCCGTGGTTATGGGGCCTTTGCAACCAGCCAATATCAATCTTTCTCAACTCCCTGGGGAGCATACAGCCATGCAGTGCTGCCATGTTGGCTCTCACAGCTAGCATTCTACAATTCTAGCACTGCCCAACCACGCACTCATTTACAGCTGGGTAGACTGGAACAAGCGGAGTAAAGTATCTTGCTCAAAGATACAACACAATGCCGTGCCATGACTTGAAACTGCATGATCCCGGCGTCCTACCACTAGACTACCGTCCCTCCATAGCATTGCATTACCCATGCTATGTGCATAAAAGGATGAGTGGGAATATTTTTTGTAATTTGTTACTGTAATCCAGATTATTTTAGAATGCCGAAGTGAGGTACATGTGTTATATACAAAATGTGTGTAACTTCTGTATACAGATTAGACTTTTTTAAGTTATTCATGATACATTTGCATGTGGCTTTAACTCCATTCTACAATGTACTAATTTTTGTATGCAGTTGTTCATAAAAGTATACATCAGCTGTTATTGTAACTGTTAAATTTTAATCTTTTTCACTAATTTGATATGATGAATCCTTTAAAATACTGCAATTATATGGGAGTGTTTTAAATAATCTCTGAAAAGTCTGAATTATGAAATAACTGGAAAACAGTATCGCAAAAATTGAAGTACTTTGAAAAACAAATGTGTTCAATATTCCCCCTCCCCCCAGTTTTGCAGAGTGTATCATTTATTGGAGGTATTCTTACATGAATAGTCTTTTAGAAAGGTTTCACCGTAGAAATCCTATTTTAAACAAAGTATATATATATATTTTTCTTTTAAACAATTGAATGATCATGATTATTATAAAGTGATATTTCCAGCTTTTGAAACAAGAAATCTGAATGACAGTTGTATACTTATCAGTAGTGTGTTATATGTTATGTAGCCTTTTATTGATTTTGATTAAGTTGTATATAAATTATAAAATGTGTTATAAAGTTGTTATTGGTGCTATAGATATTTTGATTGATAGGTATGACATACTTCTTCACTGAAGATGATGATATGTTGGATTAAAACTTTAGACATTTTTTTTTATGGTTTTTGTAATAATGACGATGAAGATAGTTCAATTGTTTACTTGATACTAATATACAGTTTTGTATTATTTGTATATACATGTACAGCAGAGGAAGAGATAACCTTCCACCTCGTGACAAGAGAAGTCTGGTTTATGGTGCAGAGTTTTAACAAATCGTATCCCTATGTAGTAGGACAAGGAATAGTGATAAAGATAGTGCCGTCGCTAGGGCTTGAACCCTCGATCCTTGGCTCTCCAGCCCAATGCTCTACTGATGAGCTAAAGGGAAATTCCCTACAGCTGACGCTTGTAAGGCAACCTAATTATTCCACATCTTTAACACCCCTATATTAGCCCGAGCTTCCTCTGGCACTGACACAAAACTGACATTTTGAAAGATAAATGTACCCATACTGGACATCTATTTGTCACAATGTTTAAGTCTGGTGTCAGGGCCAGAGGAAACTCGGGATAATCCCTAAATCTACTAGCACATGTATAGATCTAGTCAAATTAGTAAGGCAAAAACACAACAACCCTTTCTTGTGTTTCCCTTGCTTTTGTGTTACATTCATATTGTTTGTATGATGTTTCAATTTATTTTATTTTCTTATGCAAGTAAGAAAAACATACATGCAGGATATAATTTTTGTGAAATTTTATGTTTTTATACAATACAAACATATCACCATGCATGTACAATGTAATATATTTATATTATATTCTAGGTCACATGCATGGTGTTGCCTACATAATTGTGTTCAGTTTATAACAATGTATCTTTATACAACAATATATTTGCAATAGTAATTCATAATTCTTACTCTGAAATTAAAAATAGCAAAAACATAATGTTAATCACGTTATTGAAGACATACAAATGTTTTAATAACAGGTCTATTGATAATGCTGACCAATGAAATTACCGAAGTAAATTTTTCTTTCCATAAATATCTACTTTTATCAGTAACATTTTCACTAAGTGTGTTCTGATTTGGATGATAGTCTAGCCAGCTGTTACATCTGCTGAGGCTTACTAAGAAGCTCTAGGCCTGTGTGGCCTACTGTTGTCAACCTCCCATCCTCAATATCCAGGGGTTACGCTCACTGTCGCTCTCTTCACCCCTGGAATATGTCAAAGCGAAATTGAAGGCTTAGTGTGCGCCACCTTGTTGATGAGACAAGAAGACTAGTTCGATCCTTTGATATACATCAAAAGAATCTCCTGTTCACGTAACAGTTAAAATTCACAGGCTTTGAAGTTGGGCGTCTCTCCTTTGTAATCTTCAAAGGTCAGGTATCAGCCTAGCAATTGGTCATTTTTTTTTTTACCTGAGACCTATCAAACAGCTATGTTCGTGCCTTCGATTTTACTATGACATAAATACAGGGGTGTAGAGAGTGAAAGTGAGTGTAACCCCTGGATACCGAGGACGTCAACCTCCTTGACCTTCTTGTTCTCCGTTGAATTTGAATTGTGTAGAAATGCAAACATTAACTTGACCCAAACTGTTGTCACTTGTAGCGACAATGTTGCAGTTTGGCAGGGAAATCCTTAATACTTATTGACTACATAATCTTTAGTCTTAGAAATGTGCATGCCTTTTTTTTAAATTTATGCACAGATTTGCATTTTGCAGCTTGTGTGTTACTTAGTTTCTAACCTAGATTTCACTTTAACTCATTCTCCCCTGAAATTTCATAATGAACTATTCCAAACTTTGAATTGGAAGAGTTCAAATGTGTCTTCAGGGGTGAATGAATTAAATCCCCTAACCTTGATGATGTGTAAAATGTTGATCATGTAATGTACATTGTATTAATATTTTTTTAATCATGCATACAATGTTTTTTTATTCATGTCTCAAATAATAAGACGTATTTTGAATTGATGTCTCAACATGTATATTTTAATTTTATGTCTCAATAATGATAAGCTAATTTAAAAGTAATTATTTTACTTATTTTCCATATTCACTCATTTTTTGAAAACTGTTTTTTGTTTCAATGTAATATGATGATTATGAAATTTGTAATTCAGTTCACCGTTTTATGCTATTTTAAGAATCTTGAATCTTGAACCATGCTATTTAAACTAGTCACATGATGGAATTGGGTTTTCCTAAACGGTATGTGATAACTGTAATTTTTAATTATTAGGTAACAGGTTGTATTCCAGTGTTTACAGAGAAACGTTTGCATGCTTTCTACAAATAAGGAATTAGCCTGTCTTGGCATGCGCAGTCAGAAACTACCAACTTTTCTAAACATCACTTGTTTTGGCTATATATAGATGTTGAAAACATTTTGGAAAAATATATTGTGTACATGTGTATTTGATTTAGTTGACTGGAAAATGCCTTTTGATTTGATTTTAACACAGAAAATTGAATTATTTTGGTTGCTCAACATCTGGAAAAGTTCAAAGAAAGCAAGAAGTGGTAAATTTTAGCCGGAGTCTTAGAGATGTTCAAACAATCCAAGAAACTTAACATGCCTGACATTATTTTTAAAAGTTGTCTTAAATTCATACTGTTATTAATACATCCATGTACATGTATGGGACTGATGTCAATATTGGAGGAAAGATTGGACTTTGACTTTTTAGCATACATTCCGTAAGTTTTATATTTGTTACTGTATAGTGCTTTAAACTCGTGGGTCAATATTTCTCGGTTTCGTATTCCGTACATATTTGCGGGAGTTAAATTTCGCTGTGAACCCGAATCCTATGTGTCGTGCAAAGTATTTTGAGTGACATCATTTAAGAGTCAAATCTGGAAATACAAGTAAACCGTTTGGAAACACTGATCCCGAGCGTCGTCATCTGCCATTGACTTCACTTGAAAGAAAATCAAATGTGTATGTTCCTTTGTAGGA